TACACCAACTGCACAAGTAAGAGTTTCTCAAAGGCCGTCCACGAATCTTCCTCAGAGAGCGACAGAGATGACATTATATTACACGAAACCTCATACATGATTGAGTGTTTTCCTTTTATCTGGTTACGTCTATTTTTAGAACCGCGACTGACCAATGGCATTGCCAAATTCTGACTTCATAAATTATCTAATTCGGGCCGAATTTAGACTGAAATATTGCCGGGTACGCTATACCTTGACAAGGAGAAAGGTGAAAAATACAATAACAACACCGGTCAAATTCCAACATCTTTTGCTCAGGAAAAATAATTTATTATTAAAAAAAAGGATCCCAAGTCAAAAAGGAAAAAGGACATTATGCAATTATCACAGAATGAGTGTCTTTGACAATTTTTTTATAAGAATGATCTAATGCTAATAAAAAAAAAATACATATAGTAGAAATTGGGTAGTGATTATATTATGTTATAATTTAAGTGTTACATACCTTATAATATCTAGGTGTAAATTTACAATGCGTGTCACATAGAATTTTTGATGTTAATGAATGATGTTGAGTGCGATGCTGATGTGATATGTCAATGTTAACAGTTGGAAACAGGGTAAAATCTTATTCTGTTTATTGAAAAATGAAGTGTAATAAAGCCGAAGGCATTTATTAAAAATCCAAAATCTTTTCCTTTATTATTATCATCATTATATTATTATTTGTTTTTCATTTTGGAAAATTAAAATACCAACCGAAGATTTCTAAAATGAATTTGCGACACAATACTCTATCCATAATCGTCAAACCAAAAAAGTTGAATCCAAGGTGATCAGTGCTGTTTAATCACCTTATCAACAAGCCCCAAACATTTGGTGACGCAGCCACTGTCAATGATTTGAAACTCGAGAATGTTGAGCAGATGAAACGCAAATTCATTCCGCAGATCCAGTTCAACAATCTGGTGAGCGCGCGACTTGGCGAATTCAATGCAAACAGATGATAAATTTTTGTCTGCCAGTCCCCTTATGAATAGAGTTGAGAGAGCAAATTGTTGTTTGGCATCAAAATTTGCAAGGGAGAAAGCATCACGTAAATGAAAGTCATAATTGCGCAATCGTTACCTTTTGGGTTCTATGTATCGATTCCAAATCTTCATCATCTGTTTTTCCTTGTCACTCACGTCCGAAAGCTCATCTAGAGTCTACACAAGAAAGACATTGTTAATTGTAGTTATTGTCGCTCGTACTTGTCAAAAGCGTTCGCGTACAACGTGACGTAATCCCGAATCAAAATTCACACCTCATCATTCAGCTGTTCTAACCAGTGAGTGCAAATCTCGTCCTCCGAGTCAACTTCACCTTCCTTGAAGGGCATGAATGTGTGAGAATGATAGAAATTGCTGCTGGGCAATGATGATATGGCAAGAGGTGGAGCGATATACTGCTTCAAGGGATAAATGAATGGTTTGATGGTCCAACTGCCGTCTCGTTTGTCTATCAGAAAATATTCAAATTCCGAAAAATCTTCATTTGAAGTCACAACAATAACACGCTCGTTTTGCAGTTTCCCACTCTGCGCGGAAAAGGAAGTCGAATGATGAGACTCATGAAACCCATCGGAAAAAAATAAAAAAATAAATAAAATAAAATCACCTTGAACCTAAATTTCAAATGAACATGGCTACTTTCAAGGTGAATCATCAAACATTTACTGTCTGCAAAGCAAAGATTTGAACACCACGGGCAACGAAAACCTCTGACATGTTGAGTCAACTCGCAATCAGCTACACGATACATATATGAAACTGAAAGAACGTCCTTTTGTTGATCCGAAATTAAGTAAGGTTTTTGTTCTAAAGGCTTCAATGGAAGATGGACCTTGCAATCCCAATAGAGCGTGAAACGTATTTTCCAATCCGAAGGTATTATAGAACCTTGTTCACGTGCAAGTCTCAGGATAACATCGTATTGTCCATCCTTGCAGAATCGTCCATTTTCGATCACACTCATCTGGTTACACAG